GCTGCCTTCGCTGCGAGAGAGTTGCCTTTCATCATGCCTCTTGTGGTCTTTGGCCTTACCATAGGTCTCGAGAGTGCTCTGGACAATGCGTTCAACATGTCGGTTGGCACGTGAACATGCATCGCTTGACATCTTTATGTGCTCTTGTATTTTGTGAGATGCTTGGTCTGTTCACTTGTTGGCTGCGTCTTGTCATATATCTTAAACTCTTTCGACGCATCGTTGCGTAACCTCATCGCGTAGTTCATGCATACCTTCTCTGTGACGGATTTCCTGTTGCTGCTCGAGTTTCACGAAACATGCGTGAGTGTTCTGATCGAGTTTTTTGATGCGGGCTTGTCGCCACAAGATTTGGGATATGTGTTGGGTTTCTTCCGGACGGGGCTAGGATAGGACGAGGATACATCCCTTCCAGAGCGTTCCGGCACGCTCTGAGGAGGCCGCGGCGCCCGAGACATCCTCCAGAGCCGCCAGATCTCAGAGATTCCCGATCTGCAGTCGGGGCCCTGGAGAAGGAACCCTTTTCGCTGGGGAGGGGCTCCGCGTTCCTTCAGTGTTTCGCAGCGTGCCTCAGGTCTCCTTTATGTTTTCGATCGGAAATCGAAGTTCAACTTATGGAACAAAAGGGGCCTCGTCCCTCATTTGGGGTTCCTCAGGTCAAGGCCCCGACCGTATCCCCGCCCGCTGTTCTCCTCGTCTTGGCTTCGTCGCGTCCCTCGCCGAGCCGACTCTGCACCCGCCTGCCATTCGGAGGGCACCAACTACACACCAACACCGATCCTGGCCAGGATCGGTGTTGGTGTATAGTTGGTGCATTCCTAGCCATGGCCAGCGGCGCCGCCCAAGCCATGCGTGTGCATCGACGCCCCCCCGGGGCGGCGTGCGCTCCCAGAGGCCTGACGGCATGTGTGTGTGTGTGTGCTCGTGATTGCTCCTCCCGCCCGCTCCTGCGGCCGCGCCCTCCTCCTCCCTCCTGCTCCTCTCCTCCTCCTCCTCCTCCTCCTCCTCCTCCCTCCTCCTCCTCCCTCCTCCTGCTCCTCCTCCTCCTCCTCCTGCTCCTCCTCCTCCTGCTCCTCCTCCTCCTCGTCCTCCTCCTCCTCCCCTCCCCCCGCTACCCCGTCGACAGGGTCTCGGTGCCTGTAGCTTCTGACTCCCCTCCTCTGACCCTCAGTTTGCAAGGGCGCTTTCGTCACACCAGATGTCGACCGTTGTGCCTATGTATATATATATGCATATATATATATATATACACATCTACAGATCGAAAGTTCGTAAGCGTTGTGGACTTCTCTCTGCAAGTGTTCACCTGGAGGATACTGTCACACATCGTTGCGCAAGCCGTGGATGTTTTGTTCTTCTCTGGCTTGCATCACGAGTTTTTGAAAACCATGATAAGAGTAAGAGTCTGCGTTCTCAGCTCGCTGCTGGAAGCCCAATTCGCTTTTGCGATGAATTAATCCGCTTTGCAAGAGCCAAATGCAGACCCCCCTCCTAACCCGCCCGAGTGCAGCTTTCTGGGCTCTGGCTTGAATGTTATCAAATTTGCTGTGCCAGCCCTGCTCGGAGCTAAGACAATTACTCACTGCGTGGAGCTCCCCATATGCGCATCTCATGTTTTATGATATGCCATAGTGAACGTTTCTCTATGCATGCCTGGTTACAAGAGCGCGTCCACGTGGTCGACAGGTCCGACGAAGACGGTTAAACACCCATGTGCGTGAGTATGAGTGAGCGTGAGGTTTGAATACGACTGAATATGCGCCCATCCTCTTCGCTCCTCCTCCTCATAGGTCATAGCGATGACGTGGGAGGTTTGGGTGACTTGGGAGACTCGGGGAACGTGGGAGACTTGGGAGACGTGGTAGACTTGGGGGCCTTGGGAGCCTTGGGAACTTTGGGAGACTTGGGAGACATGGGGCACTCGGGAGACTCGGGAGACTTGGGAGGCTTGCGAACCTTGGGAGACATGGGAGACTTGGGCGACATGGGGGACTTGGGAGAGTTGGTCGCCTCGGGAGACTTGACAGACTTAGGGGACTTGGTATTCCTGCTGGGAGACATCGAAGACGTGGGAGACTTGCGGGACTTGGGGGATTTTAGAAACTTGGGGGGGGGCATAGAAGACATGGGACACTTAGGAGACTTGGGAAGCTTGGGAAGCTTGGGAGGCTTGGGTGACTTAGGAGACCTGACAGACTTGGGATACTTGGGGGACTTTCAGCGCCCCGCCTGAGACATCCTCACAATCTGCTCTGCAAACGAAGGGTGTTGGGGCAGAAAGACAGGCAAACCGCTTGAGACATCCCCACAAAACGCCCGCGAACGGGACCGTGTCATACCCCTCGGCGGCTCCCCTTAGAGGTGCTGAAACCAGCGCCCCGCTTGAGACATCTTCACAATCTGCTCTCCAAGCGAAGGATGTTGGGGCAGAAAACAAGCAAACCCCTTGAGACGTCCCCACAAAACGCCCGCGAACGGGACCGTGCCATACCCCTTGGCGGCTCCCCTTAGGGGTGCTGAAACCAGCGCCCCGCCTGAGACATTCTCACAATCTGCTCCGGTAGCCAAGGATGTTTGGACAAAACAAGCAAACCGCTTGAGACATCCCCACAAAACGGCCGTGAACGGGACAGTGGGAACCCTTGGCGGCTCCCATTAGGGGTGCTGAAACCAGCGTCCCGCCTGAGACATCCTCAGAATCTGCTCTGGTAGCCAAGGACTTGGGGACAGAAAACAGGCAAACCGCTTGAGACATCCCCACACAACGGCCGCGAAAGGGACCCTGAAATATCCCTTAGGGGGAGCTGAAACCAGCGCCCCGCCTGAGACATCTTCACAATCTGCTCTGGTAGCCAAGGATGTTGGGACAGAAAACGAGCAAACCGCTTGAGACATCCCCACACAACGGCCGCGAACGGGGCGTACGTGAATCTCAGCATGAGTAAGTCTGAGTAGGAGTAGGTCTGAGTATGAGTACTTTTATGTGTGAGTAAGTCTGGGTATGAGTAAGTCTGAGTGTGAGTCAGTCTGTGTATGAGTGAGTCTGGCCATGAGGAGGAGAGGGGAGGAGAAGGAGAAGGAGGAGGAGTAGGAGGCGTCCAAGTAATTCTTCACTGCGTGGAGCTCCCCACATGTGCATCTATTCGCATGGACCTGTCCGCCGTGAATGTCTAGGCGCAAGAGCTTTCGAATACAAACGGGCTTCAGTTGTGACGGTCTGGACATAAATCTAATTGCGAATGAATTGGAGTGTGAATGAGCCTCAGTAGTACGAGCGCGTCTCTGTGCATGAGCCTGGGGCCTCCTGGGGCCTCCTGAAACCTCCTGGGGCTTCCTGGGGTCTCCAGGAGCCTCTTGGGACCTACTGGTACCTCCTAGGGAGGTTTCGTGCCCCAGGAGAGGCGCAATATATAGCAACCGACGTACATAAAACATTGCGGATTAGAGCCACAGGAGAAGGGCAAACTATAGGAACACGCGTAAAGCACCAAGGACTCGTGCCCCAGGAGAGGCCCAATATATAGGAACATAAGGAAAACATGTAGGATTGTGTACACAGGAGAAGGACAATCTATAGAAACATACGTATAACATCAACGAATCGTGCTCCAGGTGAGGCCCAATCGATAGGAGCATACGTAAAACACATGGGATTGGAGCCACTCCTGTTGCCTTCTGAGGCCTCCTGCTCCTGGGGCCTCTCGGGGCCTCCTGTTGCCTTCCGAGGCCTCCTGGCGCTTCCTGTTGCCTCCTGGGGCCTCCTGTGGTTTCCTGAGGCCTTCTGGAGCTTCCTGGGGCCTCCTGGAGCCTCTTGGGACATCCTGTGGCCTCTTGAGTCTTTCTGTGGCCTCCTGATGCCTCCTGGGACCTCATGTGGTCTCCTGGGGCCTCCTGGAGCCTGTTGGAGCCTCCTGTGGCATCCTGAGAAGAATCTGCGCCCACGAGCCTGGCCACCCAAACAAGTAAACCGATCGAGACATCCTCAAAATCTGGCCCACCTGGGGGGTGAAAATGAGCGCCTCGCTCGAGACATCCTCCAAATCTGCTCCGAAAGCGAAGGATGCTGGCACAGAAAACAGGCAAACCGCTCGAGACACCCCCACAAAATCCTGCGAAAGGGGCCGAGTGAAACACCCCCCCCGCCGCTCCCCTTAGGAACGTGAAAATGAGCGCCTCGCTCGAGACATCCTCCAAATCTGCTCCGAAAGCAAAGGATGTTGGGACAGAAAACAGGCAAACCGCTCGAGACATCCCCGCAAAATCCTGCGAAAGGGGCCGAGTGAAACACCCCCCCGCCGCTCCCCTTAGGAGTGCTGAAGCCACAGAATCGCCTGAGACATCCTCAACATCAGTGTGTGTGAGTCATCCGATGAGTGGACCTGAGTGAGTGTAGTGAATGTATGAGTTCAAGTACGAGTGAGTCTGAGTGATGAGTGAGTCTGAGTGATGAGTGAGTCTGAGTGATGAGTGAGTCTGAGTGATGAGTGATGAGGCTGAGTCATGACTGAGTCCGAGTAATGAGTGAGTCTGAGTGATGAGTGAGTCTGAGTGATGAGTGGGTCTGAGTGATGAGTGAGCCTGAGTGATGAGTGAGTGGCTCTGAGTGAGAGGAGTGGTGTGTTCTTTCTCTCTCGATCTCTCCTCCGGCGTGGTCCGCCAATAATTATTCACTGCGTGGAGCTCCCCATATGTGCATCCATTCGCATGGACGTGTCCGCCGTGAATGTCTAACCTACTGGGGCTTCCTGGGGTCTCCAGGAGCCTCTTGGGGCCTCCTGGGACCTCCTAGGGAGGTTTCGTGCCCGAGGAGAGGCGCAATATATGGCAACAGACGTACATAAAACATTGCGGATTAGAGCCACAGGAGAAGGGCAATCTATAGGAACACGCGTAAAACACCAAGGACTTGTGCCCCAGGAGAGGCCCCAAATATAGGAACATAAGTAAAACATGTAGGATTGTGCACGCAGGAGAAGGACAATCTATAGAAACATACGTAC